TTTTTTATCTTTTTAGGCTGCATCGTCGTCACAGAACAGTATAATCAGGCCCCAGTGTACTCTGGGTAGATGGGCGTGGAGTTCAGTGCAGCTGCAAGGGGATACATGTTGCTGAGCTATTCTTAGCGCTGTGACAACATGCTGATTTAGAGCAAATGGAAGGAAAAGAAGGGGGTTACCTACAGTACTGTGAATTTAACCAGTGAATAAATACAAAAATAACTAAATGAATTACCACGCATCCGTGACAGTAATTATTAAAGTCTTATTTTTTTTATTTTAATTTCGTGTCATGTATTATTTTAAACACTAATGGATAAAACAACTGTCGGAGCTCCAGCACAAAAAGCTATCCTTGGCACTGAAGACTAGGAGGGAAGAAAATGCACGTGTACTGGGCGGCTCTTGGGGTAATCCTTAGGCCAATCAGAGAACAGTATGTTTGAATAAATCTGCATAGTTTAAAAAACTACAAGTGATGATTGGTTAAGGGAAATCCAAGCGGCGAATCGCTTAAATGACAGGCGCTCAGCTGGTGAATAAGCCCCGCCTTTGGTATTTTTACACGCAAACCCCGGAAATCCTGTTACTTAAAGGGACAGAGGAGGAATTTAAGGCAAAGGCTGAAACAACGAAAACAGCTGGGAGTGCACGAAAAAGACTGGCACAGAGAGGAAGGGAGTTAGCTTTGTTAGCTAACAAACTATTTGGACTATAGAGTGAGAGGACGAGTTCAAGACTGTCCGATTATTTTACCTATTTGATATACGGTTAATGTTGCTAAGGTCTTTTAGCTTCGAAGTCGATTTTCGGCCCATAACATCAGCTACCTAGAAACCGACAACGCAGCAGTCAACACGGCAGACAGACAGTAGAAAGGCCAAACTCCCAGACTGCACGGACGTCACTTCAGACTGCCTGGCTGTGTTTGATAATCTGAGTCTATATTTTTCGTGAGGTGAGTAGACTTCGAAATCTTGAAATGTGGCTGGTTGCCTTCCCTTTAATCTTCTGCATTGTGTGTACTTTAAAGGTAGGGGTGTGTTGAAATGGGTTAAGTTATATCCTTTGCATTGTGATCATGCATAGAGATTCCTTATCATAATTGGGAGTCTAGCAGAAGAATGAGCGAAATCCAGCCTGATCCAGCTGATGACCTGACAGTAGCTTGCATGATGTAGGGGGCGTTCCCCTGCTTTGTCTGCCTTCCTCACACTTTCTTTATGTGTGCACAGTCTGCATTGGTTGGGGACAAAGTGCTAGAATTTCCCAGTGAAATCCCAATGCATAAATCAAAATTAATAGTGTGCGTGGCATTAAAATGATTATGAGATAAAACGGTTTTTTTTTTTTTTTTTAATTATTGTAACTGCGCACTGTGCTCCTGGGATTGTGCATATATGGGCCAGGCAAGAAGGATCAACCAGCAGCGGTATATCTGTGAGATTGTGACTGTAGCTCAGCGGGTGGAGTGATGATGAACATTGTACAGCTAATAGAAGAGGGCATATAACTGATTGCAGTCGGTGTATTGTTCCCTTGGATTGCACTTGGGAGTTGCATTGCATCATGCATTGAAGAGTATTGATGATGGCACAGAACCTTTGTCACATGCATATGCAAATAAATAAATAAATAAATATATAAATGTAACAAATCAATGAGTCCTATATTGCACTGTTAATATGCTAGCTGCAGTGCACCATCTCTCATTGTCCTGACAAGCAGAGCATGAAGGCAATGACATACACATTAGGCATGTGTGTGCAGTCTCACACTGCATCATCTATAAAGAACACGTGCATATGGGAAAACAGCAGCTGTCTTACATGTATGGAAACTACAGATTTTTGCACACACTGCAGCACCAAATACAGCTGCGGCTCATTATTCTTCTTCTCTTGCTTGTCCATGCATTGCTCTGACAGCCACCCCCCACTATTCTGTCTGGGAGAAAGCAGTGGGCTTTTGTCCTCAGCTGAGTGTGACGTCATGTAGATCTTTGCTGTATCCAGCCCCGAAGGCAAGATGCATGTTGTTCAGCAGGCCTGGGTCTGGGCTTGTCCCATGTTCAAACACCTTTTACTTAAGTTCCCTCATGCTTAGGTACACAAGGACAATTTATAAAAATAAAATAAAAAGCACAAAATGAATTCAGTCTATTCAGGTGAGATAGAGAAACTTGGATAATCCTCTCACATTCAAAGAAAAGGAAGAGAGGGAGTGATCAAATACAAGAATGGATAAGTGTATCAACCTCCATGCATGAAAAGAAAATAGCCAGAGGAAAGCCCCCGTTGTGTTGTTGGGGTTTTTTTCTGCTTCAAAAAATTTAGCAACCAACACATTCAGCCAAATTAAATGAAATCAAATTGCATGCTTCTGTGCATACTAAGCAGGCAAGAACGTTGAGTTAAGCAAGAGTAGGATCATGAGTAACAGTCTGTTTTTCAATGGTAGTTTGGAGGGCCACCAGTATCTATTTAGGCTAAGGGAATGAATGATTCTGTCGGAAGAGAATAAAATAAAGTCCACAAAAACAACATTACATACTTTTGCATACACTCTATCTTTGAGCAAATCAAAAATAACTTTTGTATCATTTGTCTTATGGTGGTTTTCGTCTTTGATCACGATTGTTCTTTAGCATTTCTACCTGGCAGCAATTTGATTGTCTGTGTAAAAAGTGGGGGTGGCTTTTAAATGCGTTGAGCAGATGAAGGCTTGTTGATGAAGGCTTGTTGTCAGCTCTCCAGTGTATCTCAGCAGGATTTGATGCCAGAGATTACAGATGATTGTGTGGGTTAGATCGAGTACTCAGCACTGCTCTGGGGCTATATTGATCTCTAGTGTGTATGTGTGACTGAGTGTGTCCAAGCACGACTGTGCTCTATCCTTATGGGAGCTAAATTATGTTTATTGAATAATAATAAACAAAAAAATACTAGGCATAAATTATTAGCTTTAAGAAAAGAGGAATGCAACAAATAAATTTAGATAATAAGTATGCACAAGAATTTGATGTGGCTTTTGGTACTAAACCACAGAAAGCAGTGACCAGCTGACAGGAATAGTGTTTCTCATTTTAAAATGCAGGGAGACTACCACTGTTGGGTCTTCTGAATAGAGTTTTCTTTTCTTCAGTGTCACTTTGGGATTCTACTTGATAATTTAAAAAAATCTATATGCAATGGACAAGATCAAACACAAGGATGAAATCTCTGTGATCTCAGGTCGTCAGGTAGCAC